GAGAGAGAGAGAGAGAAAGAAAGAAAGAAAAGAAAAGAAAAAGAGAGAGAGAAAGAAAGAGAGGGAGGGAGGGAGAGAGAGAGAGAGAAAGAAAGAAAGAAAAGAAAAGAAAAGAAAAGAAAAGAAAAGAAAAGAAAAGAAAAGAAAAGAAAAGAAAAGAAAAGAAAAGAAAAGAGAAGGCACCAGCTAATGAGAAACTTCTTATTTTGGACATGGCCTGAGACTATTACGACAGTCATTGCCTGTTTGGTGCGCTATAATTTCCCTCCATTATCCCAACCTTCAGTAAAATCTGCTGAAAACAGCTGCCTTATGTTAGTGAAATCTTGGGAAATAAAGAGCCATGGTGGCCAATGTGAGGTGAAACAATGCATAAGAAGTAGCATTCAAAAAGGGCGACCAAGGGGCGCCTGGGTGGCTTAGTCGGTTAAGCGTCCGACTTTCGCTTAGGTCATGATCTCGCGGTTCGTGGGTTCGAGCCCCGCGTCGGGCTCTGTGCTGACTGCCAGCTCAGAGCCTGGAGCCTGTTTCAGTCTGTGCCTCCCTCTCTCTCTGACCCTCCCCTGCTCACGCTGTCTCTCTCTCTCTCTCCTAGAAATAAAATAACAACATTAAAAAAAATTAAAAAAACAAAACAAAACAAAAAAAAAAAACAAAAAGGGCGACCAAGAATTTGGTATGGGCAAGAAGTTAGAGCAAGAGGGGACCACAGGAAGGCAAACCTCAAGGGCTGTCTAGAGCTGTGCTTCCCAGACTGTAGCCACTAACTACAAAGGGCTATTCCAGCACTTGAAACGTGATGAGTCCAACTGAGATGTGCAATTAAGCACGTATGAAAAAAATAATGTCAAATATTTCAATAGTTTTTATATTAATTACATGTTGAAATGATAGTATTTTGAGTATACAGAGATACATAAAAGACATTATGAAAGTTAATTGCACCCATCCCTTTACGGCTTTTTAACATAGCTATTTAAAAATTCAGAATTAGATATGTGGCTCACATAATATTTCTATTTGGGCAAGATCACTCTAGAACCTTGGGGAAAAGGAATAGACTTGCTAGGGTAGAAGGAATGAGGTGTATAAGCCTCTTTCTTTGGGTATTAAAGAAAAGGGTAACCCCAGAAACTGGGGACATGAGAAAATAGACATTGACAGATTAAGTGTGAGAAAATACAATTCTACAGGAATAGAAGACATTCATTTTAGTAAAGTTTTGTTAAATTAAAAATAGTTCCTACAAATAGCAAGTGCTCCTAAAATATGACTCAATATATATAAACATTCAACTTTTCAGGAACACATTTGTAGTGTGAAATAAAGTATATGGGAAAACGTTCCAACATAAATAACTTACATTCAAGTTATTCAAGTCCTTGGGTTTAAACCAGAAGAGAAAAAAAGCAAGGAAGCTCCCACCCCATAGGGGATGAACAAAGGCTCTTCGCGTGCTCAACAGTGACCTGAGACTAACACTTCGTACTTTTAATTAGAAATACAGAGGGCACCTGGATAGCTCAGTTGGTTAAGCGTCTGACTCTTCATTTCAATTCATGTCATGATCTCACAGTCCATGAGTTTGAGCCTCAGGTTGGGTACTGTGCCGAAAGCTCAGTGCCTGCTTGGGATTCTCTCTCACTTTCTCTCTCTGCCCTTGCCCTGCTAGTCTAGCACACACTCTTTCTCTCAAAATAAACATACATTTAAAAAAAAAGAAGAAATACAGAACACATGCAAAGCTGCCATTGTTTGTGGACCATATTTATTTCAAACCAAATCTAGCCCTCGAGCCATGTCTCGGGAAATTTATGAGCAAAAAAATGAAACAAAATACAATGCCTGACTCTCAGTTAACCGATCTGGATGCAATCAGAAAACATCTTTTCTCTGACATGCTCGGCGACTCTAATTTGGTACCTCTGGGTTCTCTATTATACACATTGTTATGTGTAGATGGAATCGGCAAACTTCAGACCTAGGATGACTTAAACATCACATGGTCTCGTCTCTCTCTCTCTCTTTTTTAATATTTTTATTTATTTCTAAGAGAGAGAGAGAGACAGCGTGAGCAGGGGAGGGTCAGAGAGAGAGGGAGACAGAGATTCTGAAATAGGCTCCAGGCTCTGAGCTGGCAGTCAGCACAGAGCCCGACGCGGGGCTCGAACCCACGAACCAAAAGATCATGACCCAAGTGAAAGTCGGATGCGTAACCGACTAAGCCACCCAGGTGCCCCTCTCGTCCCTTTATTGTACAGATAAGGACATGGAGCCACAGAGAGACATAAGTTGCCTGAGATCACAGAGTCGCTTAGGGGCAATGGTAGAACTCAAGGCACCGTACAGTGGAATCCTGGGTGGGACCCTGATGTTTCTGGATGGCCAACTTGAGTCATCTGAAAATGGTATGTCTGGTACTTACTCATAGGTGTTTGCAGAAAGACTAAAGAATCCTTCTCTATAAAATGTGCATTACAGCCTCCGTCATGCTCAGTGGAGCCAAACTGATGTCCTCCCCTCCCCTTTCATCTTCCCACCCAGCCATTGCTAACGCCTTTCCCCTTGAAGTTACCCACAGTGAAATGGTCAGCTGTGGACTCTGGATAAGCCCTGGACCCTCCTGTTTTTGTGTATTTGACAGTCACTAGGTAGCCTGGGGTGTACTCGAGAACCTCCCTGGCCAAGGGTGTGTGACTTAAGATGACATTGCTGAGTTCATACCCCAAGACACTGAGAAGGAAATGCTTGTCCAGGGATGAGAGAGGCCAGAGAGTGCAGAGAGAGGGCAGAGTGAGCTACGGAGCAGGCTCATGGTCTTGTCTCTCCTTCCATCTCTCCTCCTGTATCCCTCAGCCCAGCCTGGGCCCTACAACCCCCCCCCCCCCCCCCCCCCCCCCCCCCCCCCGAGCTCAAATAAACACACAACACCACTCTCTTCTTCCTCTCTTTTCCCGCTCAGCCCTGCCCTGGCTGCAGAACGACAGGCCAGTATTTTGCACCCCGAGATGCCAACAGTTAGAAGCCCCAAAAGGGAGGATCGTTGGTGGAAGCGAGTCTCAACTTGTTACATTTTTGGAGGCTTTCCAAGTGTTGTTGATTAATTCTCACTTCTCAATACACACACACACACACACACACACACACACACACTCACGTACGCACACGTGCTCCCCGCTTACTCCATAGGATCCAGTGACTTAGGTCCTTAATCTTACAAGCTCGCCAGCCCTTCTATAAATAATGGCTGTTGGGACAAGGTGACTTTGGGGTAAGAGTATCTCATTTCAGGGGAAAATATAGTACAAAACACAAAACTGTGCTTTTACGGGTCTCCCTCTTCCTAGGATCAGGGCGCTCAGCGAACATTCAAAGGCTCATGTTCCATTAGTCTTTGGGGGACTTGGTCTCCCCTTTGAGTCGAATCCAAGCAAACTAGGGAAGGGAAGTGATGCCAGGGCTTCTGAGCACACTCATGTATCACCTGTGCGCCTGGCACGGGGTTCAAGGGAAGAGACGGACCCTGAGGGGAGCACAGGCTGTGACATGCCTTTAGAGCAGGAAGCTGGAGGCACCATACCTTTGCAGGTGAAACATTTGATGTGGAAATGTTTCGCCTGGACCCGAAGTACTTCACCCTTGCATGGCTCCCCACATTTATGGCAGTGAATGACAGGCTTCTCCGACGGGTGGTGAGGGTCCTGAGGGTGGGCCACTGGAAAAAAAGAGACCGATGTGAGTACAAAGCATTCCTCCAAAAAGGGGTCATTATGGGCCTACATAAATATCCGCATAATGATGTTACCCAATGAACCACACTTTGACTCAAGAAGGATAAGTTGAGCCTCTTCCCTGTGCCATAATCATGAGGATATACTGAAAAATAAGAGAGTTGTGGCTTTAATGGTCCAGCGGGGAAAACACTTGGCTTGTCCCCCTGCGAAGCCAGCAACCCTCTTTCTTCCTTCCAAACTTCTCTAGGACTACATAATCGGGCCATTAAATATATGATCTTGTATGTTTAATATTTTGTAGTATGTATTTGTAATATATCTTTATCTTGGTTTAGAAACACCTTTCAGTAAGGAGTTCACTGTTGACTGTAAGTTCCTCAAGGATGGGGACAATGTCTTAAAGTTTATATTCTTCCCCCCGCCCCTCCATTTTGTACTTCTTCCTTCCCCCAGCTCCTCAGAGCACGGCCGAGTGCTCACGTCCCAAAGGAGCTCAGCAAATATTCATTTACTCATTAGATAGCACGTGCTGGCTGGTTTCTTCTCTGGTCTACCAGCAAGTCATCCTTCATCCTCATCCGGCAGCTCATTTCACCTGCTGGGGGCCTATGATGAGCCTCCTGTTGTGCACATAGCTTCTGACACACACAATGTGGGCGGTATGTTTAAAAAAATAAGTTACTAATAACTATGTGGACCTCGCTGAACCTCAGTTTCGTTTCCTGTAAGACAAGAAGGATGGGACCAAAGGATTTCAAAGGTCTTTTCAGGCTCGAAAATCATATGATGCGTCTTACTGGCTTTATTCTCTCCGTTTCCAGAGTTTGGCTTTAGAACGTGGAAGTTATCGAGACTGGCCTGGCCCAGGGTTAGGATCTCTAGCCTCCCCTTTATAAGAGGCAGAGAGAGAAGATACTGTGGCTTTGAGCTGACCAGGGGTCTCCTTTTTTTTTTTTTAGGTCTTATTTATTTTTGAGAGAGACAGAGCACGAGCAGGGGAGGGACAGAGAGAGGGGGAGACATGGAATCCGAAGCAGGCTCCAGGCTCTGAGCTGTCAGCACAGAGCCCAACACAGGGCCCGAACCTACAAACCGCAAGATCATGACCTGAGCTGAAGTTGGATGCTTAACTGACTGAGCCACCCAGTTGCCCTGTCCCATCAAGGTCTTCATTTAATCTGCAATTTCTCCAGTCAGGGGAATGCAGACAGGCACTTTTTGCTAGTTTTTTTTTTTTTTCTTCCTAATTTGGGTCCTCAGAAGGAAGAACCATGTGATATACAGAAATGTATTACATAAGTATCCACATGAGCATGAAATGGGATGAGAACAGCAAACCTAAAATTAATCAACCAACACAAAGAACAAAGACTCTTGTTTTTCCCCCTGCGATGGTAAGACCAGGTTGGACAGGGGAGCGACGTGGGCTGATATGCTGACACTGGATTTACAGAGCCCGTTACAGCCGGGAGCTCACTGGACGGCACAAGTATAAAGGGGCATTGTTTCTCTCGGGCCACTCTCATGTTCTCATTTCACCTGGAAAGCGTCTGAACAACCCAGTCCAAATAATGCATTACGAGCTAAATTCTGAGGAACAGGGTGGTCCTTGGGAGATTTTGACGAGGAGCAGGTGCGGTTTTGGGTTAAACACCTGGTCCGAATTCTCTGCCCTGGACTTGGAGAGTGTCAGCAAAGGTACCAATGCGATGACACACCTGTATTTCCTTCTCTGCCCCCCGGGATGCTCTGGGAAATGTGTACGTACACCAGAAGTCAGCATTACCAAAAGCAATTAAGGAGGGGCATCCTTTCGAGACTGCTAAAAAAAGATACCACTGACTTTTAAAGTGATGTGTAACAAAGTCCCAAATCGATTTGCCTGGGCATTAAGCAAACAAACAAACAAAAGTTTCACTTGGGGAGTCTGGATGGCTCAGTCAGTTAAGCATCCAACTTTGGCTCAGGTCATGATCTCCCAGTTCATGAGTTCAAGCCCCTCCATGAGGCTCTCTGTTGTCAGCACAGAGCCTGCTCTGGATCCTTTGTCTGTCTGTCTGTCTCTCTCTCTCTCTTTCTCTCTTTCTCTCCAGCATAGAGCCTGCTTCAGATCTTTCTTTTATCTCTCTCTCTCTCTCTGTCACTCGATTCTCTTAACAATATCTGCTTTAAGTACCAGTGAAAAACATGAGTACGAGTTGTTGCTGTTTTGTTTTTAATCCTGCTACCAATGAAAATGGAGGAAAGGGATATTTATTGAGCATCCATCTACCCAAAGGCACGCATGTGCTAGGTGCTGACACATCATTCTGTCCCATCCTCACCCCCACCTCGCCCTCTCGGTGAGGTGGGCAATCTTGTTCCCATTTGACAGATAAGTAACTAAATAGAACAAGTTCGGGAGCAACCTGCTTAGGAACAAAACCTGGAAGCTGAGTGAAAGATCTGCACTCAGGCCCTTCTGACTCCCTGACTTCCATTTCTCCCATACTAGTTGCCTGAGTCACAAACTGTTAGGAGTCAGGCAAGGATGCATTTCTCCAAGCTCCAGTGCACTTCTAGAAGCAGCAGCTAGGACTCGGCCTATGAAGGAAACACACACGGTGCGTGTGATAGATAGAAGTATCGCTAGTGGGCGTGGCACCCGGTGGGAATCGTCAAAGTAGCTCTGTAGACCCCCTGAATCAGACCCCCCCAGGCCCATATATCCAAAAATTCCTCAGCCCCACTGAACTAGGGGTGGGAATCAGGGATCGATCATTTTAGTAATCTTCTCGGGTGATTCATATCCATACTCAAGCACAAGAGCCCTTTTCCTTTAGAATGTAAACAATACGGATAAGCAAGTTACAGGAAAGTTAAATGAAAAAAGCCATCCATAAGACCCTCTTCCTCAGAGACAATACTGGAGCAGAGTGGGTCTCTTGGCTGGAAGCAAGAATGCATTTTTGGATACTGTTCTACAGTTTCTCTTGATGCATGAATTCTTTACAGCTAAGCAAATAAGCCGTGCTGAGTAATGATGAGGGAAGGAAAATATCATTTCACTTCTTGGCTTTCCCCTTTGTCTCAACGAAGGTGCCAGGGCAACTGCTGGCACCAGCCACAAAGGTCAGAATTGGGATCAGCATCTGTATTTTGCAAGCATTTCCCTCTGGAAATATATATTACACTATGTCCTCCTGCCCAGAGGTGACCTCTGTTCTCACCCAGAGATGAGCAGAGCCTATCTCACGTTTACTTGCCTTTCCATCATACCTCAGCCTAGCTAGGTAGGCCGACATGTTTCAGAACAAGGCCCCTGTGAAGACGTGGGCTTTTCTTATTGGAGAATGACAGAATCTAAAGACCAAAAGAAGAGTGTTCATTTAAAAAAAAATTTTTTAGGGATGCCTGGGTGGCTCAGTTGGTTAAGCATCCAGCTTCGGCTCAGGTCATGCTCTCATGGTTCGTGGGTTCGAGCCCTGCGTCGGGCTCTGTGCTGACAGCTACCTCAGAGCCTGGAGACTGTTTCAGTCTGTGTCTCCCTCTCTCTCTGACCCTGCCCTGCTCACGCTGTCTCTCTCTCTCTCTCTCAGAAATAAATAAAAATATTAAAATTTAAAAAAAATTTTTTTAAATGTTTATTTACTTTTGAAAGAGAGAGAGACAGACAGACAGAGCATGAGTGGAGGAAGGGCAGAGACAGAGGGAGACTCAGAATCCAAAACAGGCTCCAGGCTCTGAGCTGTCAGCACAGAGCCAAAGGCAGGGCTCAAACCCATGGACTGTGAGATCATGACCTGAGCCGAAGTCGGACGCTTAACCGACTGACCCACCCAGGCGCCCCATGAGTGTTCATTTTTAACGACGAATAAAGAGGTTCATTTTTACATAAATGCCTTGGGCAGTTTGGTTAGTACCAAGCGTATGCTCATTAGCTCAATTCTACATTTTTTTTGAAATATGCTGAGTCAATTGCGATACAGCAATGACAGTAATTCTCCTCTTAATGCCAGCTGGCTCTGTTGCTAATTTTTATGCCACTGAGCCACCTTTCAGAGCCTGGCTGGTCCCTTACTTGTTCCACTGATAGAGACTGAGGGGCAAAGAGCTTACAACCCTTGCCCAAAGTTACTGGCAAGTTACTGGCAGAGTCACATCTAATCGGCTTCCTGACTCTTTCCACTGTACCAGGTAGTCAATGATTGACCCCGGAACTTGCATAGACATGCTTAAAATCTTTCATGGCTCATCAAGTTGTTGCTAAAATAATAGTACAACGAAACTCAAAAAGGATGGCTGCATACTTCCTGAATAGTGAGGAAATATATATGAAGAGCCAAGAGTCTATTTGCCCATAATGGTAAAGGGATTCCTCCACTCTGTGATATCCAGTTTGGGGGGATTCTGGCTACTCAGATAAATAGCCCATTGCAAGCTGGAAAGCTTCACACTGCCTGTCACAGGCAAACAAGGCAAGTTAGTCACATCTCTGAAACTCCGGCTAAAGATGGAAGCCAAGAGTGCCATTTTGGATGCATTGCTTGTGAAAATGTCTATGAGGTATTGCAGGTGGCGGAGCTGGGGGACTGAGATCCGTAAGACAATCCCAGGAAACTTCAGTGCCCCCAAGCAGAGGCCACTACAAGTATTAAGAAGGGCACACAGATTAGGCAAAGCTCTTTCTTCTAATCTAGAACCAGCTTCATGTTGCCCAATAGACCAAGGTACTAGACCCCCAAAAACACAACATCTGAGAAAGTGTACCTGAAATAAAAATCTCCTCAGCAGGTGACGATCACAAACCCAAGTACGCAGTGTGAGCTATGACTTGCCCCAGATTGTCTAAGATGTTCAGAACCCCCCCACCCAGATGCCCTCCTCTCCCAACAGCCCCCAGCACTCCCTTAGCCAGCCTTTGAAGCCATAGCGCTTTGTGCCCCATGGCTTTCCAAGCACTCACATCTGCATTTTGTCATTTCACCCTCAAAGAGTGCTG